CAACGATATCTCGCTGAGCGGCAACGATATGCCATCAGCCAGAGCCACAACTTTTGCGGCAGCAATGATATCTCTCACACAAGGCTCGGCGAAATTTCCCAATTTTGGAAAAATAAAAGTCCCAAAATATCACGCGATATTTCGTTTCAAACGAATGTCGTTCAATTCAAATTCGCCGAAAAATCGCGAAATTTGCAAAATTCCTTGTACGGTCGAAGCTCTCGTAAGCAACCACCATTCGAAAAAGTGAGTCGTAACTAGAGCTGATCGCTTTTTCTTACGAGAATGGGCCCTCGTAAGAGACCACGCTTTATAAGCACAAAGTATTGTGGATAATATTAAATAGTTATTGCCTATTACAGAAGAGGTTTGCGAATATAGTTCACACATCCACAGAGATTGAAAACTTCTCTTGTTCAAGAACAACAACAATGAACTATATTTGCATGACCATAAATCATTACAGTATTGCAAAAGCGTAGAATAATACTGATAGAAAACTATAAATAAAAAATACAATGGAAAAGAGAATTACAGAGAAACCTCCAAGGGGACAGCCTCGGGACCTCGGGCAGCAATTTATTTAAGCGACATTTGAAATGCATAATTTAAGCTCGCAACAGCAACCTTGGACTGTTTAAATTGCGATTTGACTTGTCACGTGTGGACAGGAGCCCATTACCCCTGGTGTGGATTATACCAATAACGGGCTGATGAAATACACTTGAAATTGATCAAAAATAACAGTTTTGTACTCATTAGCAGATGAGTTGTCCCCTTAATGGAGGTTGAAATAGCTTTTGGAATGCTCAAAAAAGTGTCCACGTCCCCTTAATAGAGGTGTCCCTTCAATAGAGGTGGTGAATACAAAGATTATATGAGCGTTTTGCCGGGACAAGGAAAAGTGTCCCCTTAATGGAGGTGTTCCCTTAATAGAGGTGTCCCCAAAGTAGAGGTTCCACTGTACACGTAAATCTTAACTATCAAACTAGACTGATAACAAGCTGGTTCGCAGATCAATAAAGATGATTATAATGTCTCATAAATGTATAGCACAACAAGTGGTTGCCTACGAGAGCTTAAAAACAAAGGAAAAGACCAGCTGATAATTCCCAAACGTGGTCGCGGTCACTTACCACTCTCACGGGAGCGGACGCTTACGAGAGCTTTTAATTACAGGGCCGGTTTGATTAACAATTCAAACGGGGTTTCACAATGGTGGTCGTAACAAGAGCTGGTCGTTTAGGAGAGTTGCCGTCGCAAGGAGAGCTTCGATTGTATTTCGTTTGCATTACTTTTGCACAATAACTGTACCAGAAAATTCCGAATTTCAGCAAATTATTACACGTCATTGTTGAAGTAGATATTCTTTGGCCGCTGGTAGCATTATTTTTGTTTATTCGTGTACGATGAAGACTGTCAGAGTTTCAAACCTACATTGTCAAGGCTAAGCTCATAGCCAGAGAAGGGATGAATATACCTAACCCCTCCCCCCAATATTTTGAGCTAAAATAATGGTCTTATTTTGTTGAGTATTTCTGCGTTAAAACAAATTGATTTGATTAAATCCTTGATTTTCTTTGCCATGTTTTTTTTTGCTAGAGTTGTAATGTAAAATCAGTGAAGTATTTTTAGTTCCCTATCTATCGAAGGCTTTCTTCATCAAACTTTGTACAATTGGGGCTCCACGACTATCAGAAATTGACAATATATTTCCCTTCATCAGATTTGGAGATAAGCTTTGCTTGGGAAAGCTAATATTTGTTGTTGTTGCTGCAACAGTGGATCCCTGAACTGGAACATGTATGTGTTACACGTATCAGAGTAAACCTATTTTTCCAGCCGCCGTTGAGTCCTCAGTAGTAAGATCGTGTCCGAGTCAAATCACCCAGTCATTGGTTTTATTATTTAAGCGTTATTTACATGCTCTTGGGCTGTCAGAGAATAACGTATCTATATACATAAAATTGAATTTGCTTACGCACAAAGTATAGCGCGAAACGAGAGCGAGAAGAAGTAGGAGAGTGCCTGAAGTGGAATCAGGAGGTTTTTCACCGACTCAAGAATGCATCGACGTCCAAGTTCGCACCTCGCTTTTTGTGTTCACTCCCCACGAAGTTCACGTTCACCCCTTAGCCCGACTGAGTTCGCTTCCTAGTTATTATAGACTTAGGTAAAATGAAAAAAAAAACTGTATGTAAATTCGAATAAAGTAATCGTTCGCAACAGTTTCTCAATTGCCACTTTCTTAAGTTTCATCCGTATCAAAACGAATTATTACAGAGGTAAGATTACCTTTATGGACGCCAATTTCTTTCAGAAATCTAGGGGACCCCTCCTCTACCTTATTTTTGACAATTTTGTTTTTCTCTCAAAAACATTTCACGCCGCCAGGCCGAGTGATATTCCCGAATAAAACGTTTAAAACTGCAGCTGGATCAATTTGTTTGCTTGTACCAGAAGAATCCACATGAACCATTTTGTTTAAAATTCTATCTTTGAGTTTCTATCCTGTTGAAGTTCTAATAAGTAAGTAGGCAAGCATGTTATTCATTGTGATGCCGGCGGGAAAAAAGGCGGGAAAACCGTTATTTTTCTGGAACAAGGTGAATTATCAAAGGTAAAGCTTCCGCTCTAAACACAAACCATGAATAAAGTTAAAACAGAGTTTTTGTCCTTCTTTAATAAGACACATTAATTTTCTAATGCTGTCAGAACTAATCACAACAACGAATTACTTAGAACGAAATCGAGAAATCAACAGGAAAACTAATAACAAATAACATATAGAACCTAGACGAAATTAAGCGAAAACTTAATAAGACCTCAGGTAACAATGACCCGAACCAGATTGCACACTTCGTTATTTTAACCTGAAGGTCATTTCACTAAAAGAAATAAATAATGTTTTGGGGGTCGAACTCGGGTCGATGTTTGTTTGACTGCAGTCATACAAACGTCTCTAAATTTTCCAGTTTTGAACTTCCGTTTTCTTGACTCAGGTAGAACCTAACCTAACGAAACTTTACGATTACACAAGAGGTGGTCTTTCAGGTGAATGAATTTGCGGTGGCCATTTTGGAGAAAGGTCTATTGGTCTAAGTGGAGCGTGGAGCATGCGTATGCAAGGTACCCTCGAACCCTCTTCTCAGCGCCAACTGGAGTAAAAATACAATAAAATAAATATAACAACGAATGGAAATTTCAGTGGAAATCCACAGAGTGGTTATTCTATCCACTGTTTCCAGACCGAATTGGAATTTAAAAATGTTAGTTTTTGTGGAGCTAGGGAGGAAACCGGAGTGCCTGGCAAAAAACCCTCGGAGCAACGATGGGCCTCTCAATGCGTACCTACAGATTTCGATTTCTTCGCGCGTTCTTCGCAAATCGTTGATTTGTCAACAAAAATGTCGCTCTTATATCAGGAATTTTTAATGTACTAACGTTTAATCTTTGCTTTTGAACATTTTTTTTAGCGCTTGCAGAGTTCCTTGGAGAGCTTGTTCGATGCAAAGTGCGGACAGATTTCATCGTTTTGTTCATTTGCGGTCATTGTTGACATCGTTGTTATTGCCGTAAAAAACTGCATAAAGAGACTACCAATTTATATTGAATCTTCTGCGTAACACATTTGACACAAATTTTCCATCTGACCACGATAATTTGTAAATCGTCGCTTCACTTTCTTAGATCGTCGTTTCTTTAATAGCAATTGTCGCGACTTTGATCGTCGGAAATACCTATAGAGAGTCTTGAGAGGATGAGAACCAACAACAAACTCAACCCACATATGACGCCGGCTTCGAGATTCGAACGAGGGCCAAATTAGTGGGAAGCGAGTTCTCTCACCTCAGCTCTGCGCCATCCCCCCCCCCCCCCCCCCACCCCCCCCCCCTAAAAAAGCGAGAACAGCGGTCGGGGACTGGACTAAAGCTTGCCGTACGCTTGGCACGCAGCCAGTTCCAAAGAATGAATCCTAAAATATATTAACAAACATATCTGCCTATCATTCAAAACACTGATTATTCCCTTTTGAGACTTCACTGTATATGTTAGAAGAAGAAGAACATTATTATGTACCCGACGTGTGGTTTGATGTGTTCGCTAGAACCCAGCTTCCAGACGTGAGTTTCAGGAATTTCTCTTGTTGTTGTTGTTCTAACGAAACACCAATGTTACAAACATGACCGCACATTGAAGTTTAGAAACCCGAAATGAGTCGGCGGGTAGTTGATTGTCCGCAAAGTTCTCCCTCCTTATTTACAGTTTATATTGCCGCAATTAAATATTGTTTAATGTAACTTGAACTTGAAGCTACATATCGTTTTTATTTTCCTTTTCTATAATTTGTTTTGCAGGGTCTTGTCCGATAACCAATTGCAACATTTAACTCCAGGAGTGTTCAAAAATATTACTGGACTAAAAAGGCTGTAAGTAGCACGCCCCGTGATCTATGTATTAGGGAATAATATAGTGCCAGAAAGGTATACAGTCGAACCCCTATTAAGGCGGCCACCCTCGGGTAAATGGCAAGTGGCCGCTTAATATTATTTACAGTATTATGCTGATATTAGGTTCTTTGATAGCTGACCGTTTAATAAGGGTTGGCCGCCTAATAGGGGTTTTATTTACAGTATTATACTGATATTAGGACTTTGATAGCTGACCGTTTAATAAGGGTTGGCCGTTTAATAGGTGGCCGCTTAATAGGGGTTCGACTGTAGCCTATTATCCTTCGCCTCTCTACCAGCTCTTCGCCACGGCTCGCGGCTGCTTTCGCTCGCGCACCGTTTTTCTTCTTACCCCACCCCCACCGCGGGGCCTATTCATAGGCTATAAAATATAGTTCCAACATTTCTGATTAATTGATGTGTTCGTTGACAGAAAAAACAGATTATGTCTGAACTTTTTTCCATAATGAAGGATGCGCAATGCAATGCAATGCACGAGAGATATGTTAATCAGTCAGTGGCATAAGGTAATCGGAAAAAAATTCGCAGTTCTCCCAACAGGAGTCGAACCTATGACCTTCCGCATGCCGATCGGAAGCTCAACCACGGAGCTACAGGAGACTCGTGGGAGCTAGGCCAGGCAAGGCAAGGGCAAGTTGTTCAAATGTGACAAACTTCCTGCATTCTGCAAGGATTAGTAATAAATAACTAGCACCGTGCAGTTTGTCACATTTGAGCCTATAGTCATTTGGTCTAATCTCCCACGAGTCTCCCAGTAGAGCGTGTGACCGGTGTGCAGAAGGTCATAGGTTTTAACTATTGTTTTGAGAACTCTTGTGGCACTGACTGATATGATTAACATCTGGGACCTCATAATGTTACCAAACTCAACATATTTACATTCATATTTCCATAATGGAAAACATGTTGGTAATTTTTGGGTGTATGTTTCTTCGGAATTCGGCGCAAAATGCATATGTCGGAAAGCAAAGAGAGGGGGCGAAAGGAAACTGGATTACAGTATTTACCAACACAGACGCTTGGATCACTTTTTACCACCTTGGCGCCTAAAAATGGAGCCTTTATTCAAGAGAGTGTTTAATTGGACGAGGCATTTATTTTTGGGGAGGTAATTTTAAACTTGAAAAGGCCATGTGCATTAAGTTAACTGACACTTAAGAGAGTTGGAGGAAATATTTTTACTTCAACTCTAATACACAAAGAGTACGTAACAAAAGTCCCCAACCAGGCCAAAGGCTACATCTGCCAGTTACAGCAAAATTAAAGCAGGGATTTAGCGAAATAAGGAAGGCATTTTAATTTCCGTACTGATCAAATCAAAGCATCAACATTACCCTCCCCATGCATATCTCTTTGTTATGCCCGGGGAGTAGGCCCAATGGATGATCCCTGCCGCTGGATTATGTTGCGTATGGTTTGATGTACAGTTGTTGTGGTATAAACCGTGAACCGTTGAAACACTAAAACGGCAACATGTAAATGACCACGTGACCGTCAAAACATTCATTACAGTTCCACAGATTACCAAAATGAAAAGGGAATCATAAAAAAAAAAATTCACCACAGAAGGTCTTAAATTGTGGACAGCTTCAAGAAAAAAAAAACGTAAAGTGAACAAAGGACAGAAGTTATGGAGAATGTTGAAACAGAAAGAGCAAATAAACTATATATAATCCTCATACGGCAGGTGCATAGGAAGGGTGGTTACATTAATATTTTGTTCACTGCATAGGAAAGGGTGGGGAATTTGATCACTACATAAGAAGTGTGGAGAATTTGATCACTGCAAAGGAAGGGTGGGGGAATTTTGATCACTACATAAGAAGTGTGGAGAATTTGATCACTGCAAAGGAAGGGTGGGGGAAATTTGATCCACTACATAAGAAGTGTGGAGAATTTGATCACTGCAAAGGAAGGGTGGGGAATTTGATCACTACATAAAGAAGTGTGGAGAATTTGATCACTGCAAAGGAAGGGTGGGGAATTTGATCACTACATAAGAAGTTGTGGAGAATTTGATCACTGCAAAGGAAGGGGTGGGGAATTTGATCACTACATAGGAAGGGTATGGGAATTTGATCACTACATAGGAAAGGGTGGCGAATTTGATCCACAGCCATAGGAAGGGTATGGAAATGTGATCACTGCATAGGAAGGGTGGGGAATTTGATCACTACATAGGCAAGGTGGGGAATGTGATCACTACATAGGAAGGGTGGGGAATTTGATCACAGCAATAGGAAGGGTATGGAATGTGATCACTGCATAGGAAGGGTGGGGAATTTGATCACTAACATAGGAAGGGTTGGGCAATTTGATCACTGCATAGGGAGGGTGGGGAATTTGATCACTACATAAGAAGTGTGGAGAATTTTGATCACTGCAAAGGAAGGTGTGGAAATTGATCACTACCATAAGAAGTGTGGAGAATTTGATCACTGCAAAGGAAGGGTGGGGAATTTGATCACTACATAGGAAGGGTATGGAATTTGATCACTACATAGGAAGGGTGGGCGAATTTGATCACTAGCATAGGAAGGGTATGGAATGTGATCACTGCATAGGAAGGGTGGGGAATTTGATCCACTACATAGGAAGGGTGGGGAATGTGATCACTACATAGGAAGGGTGGGGAATTTGATCACAGCATAGGAAGGGTATGGAATGTGATCACTGCAAAGGAAGGGTGGGGAATTTTGATCACTACATAGGACAGGGTGGGCAATTTGAATCACTGCATAGGGAGGGTGGGGAATTTGATCACTACATAAGAAGTGTGGAGAATTTGATCACTGCAAAGGAAGGGTGGGGAATTTGATCCACTACATAAGAAGTGTGGAGAATTTGATCACTGCAAAGGAAGGGTGGGGAATTTGATCACTACATATGGAAGGGTATGGAATTTGATCACTACATAGGAAGGGTGGCGAATTTGATCACAGCATAGGAAGGGTATGGAATGTGATCACTGCCATAAGAAGGGTGGGGAATTTGATCACTACATAGGAAGGGTGGGAATGTGATCACTACATAGGAAGGGTGGGGAATTTGATCACAGCATAGGAAGGTATGGAATGTGATCACTGCAATAGGAAGGGTGGGGAATTTGATCACTACATAAGAAGGGTGGGAATTTTGATTCACAGGCATAGGAAGGGTATGGAATGTGATCACTGCATAGGAAGGGTGGGGAATTTGATCACTACATAGGAAGGGTGGGGAATGTGATCACTACATAGGAAGGGTGGGAATTTGATCACTACATAGGAAGGGTGGGGATATTTGATCACTGCATAGAAGGGTGGGGAATTTGATCACTGCACAGGAAGGTGTGGGAATTGGATCACTGCATAGGAAGGGTGACTACATAGGAAGGGTGGGGAATTTGCTCACTACATAAGAAGTGTGGAGGAATTTGATCACAGCATAGGAAGGGTGGGGAATGTGATCACTGCATAGGAAGGGTGGAGAATTGAATCACTGCATAAGAAGGGTGGGGAATTTGATCACTGCATAGAAGGGGTTGGAATTTTGATCACTGCACAGAAGGGTGGGGAATTGGATCACTACATAGGAGGGTGGGGAATTTGATCACAGCATAGGAAGGAGTGGGGAATTTGATCACTGCATAGGAAGGGTGGGAGAATTTGATCACTGCATAGGAAGGGTGGGGAATTTGATCACTGCATAGGAAGGGTGGGGAATTTGATCACTGCATAGGAAGGGTGGGGAATTTGATCACTACATAGGAAGGGTGGGGAATTTGATCACTGCATAGGAAGGGTGGGGAATTTTATCACAGCATAGGAAGGTTGGGGAATCTGATCACTACATAGGAAGGGAAGGGGCATTTGATCACAGCATAGGAAGGGTGGGGAATTTGATCACTGCACAGGAAGGGTGGGGAATTGGAATCACTACATAGGGAGGGTGGGGAATTTGATCACTGCATAGGAAGGGTGGGGAATTTGATCACTGCACAGGAAGGGTGGGGAATTTGATCACAGCATAGGAAGGGTGGGGAATTTGATCACTGCCACAGGAAGGGTGGGGAATTGGATCAACTACATAGGGAGGGTGGGGAATGTGATACACTGCATTGGAAGGGGTGGAGAATTGGATCACTGCATAGGAAGGGTGGGGAATTTGATCACTGCATAGGAAGGGTGTGGAAATTTGATCACTGCACAGGAAGGGTGGGGAATTGGATCAACTACATAGGGGAGGGTGGGGAATTTGATCCACAGCATAGGAAGGGTGGGGAATTTGGATCACTACATAGGAAGGGTGGGGGAATTTGATCACTGCATAGGAAGGGTGGGGAATTTTATCACAGCATAGGAAGGTTGGGGAATCTGATCACTACATAGGAAGGAAAGGGGAATTTGATCACAGCATAGGAAGGGTGGGGAATTTGATTCACTGCACAGGAAGGGTGGGGAATTTGGATCACTACATAGGGAGGGTGGGGAATTTGATCACTGCATAGGCAAGGGTGGGGAATTTGATCACTGCACAGGAAGGGTGGGGAATTTGATCACAGCATAGGAAGGGTGGGGAATTTGATCACTGCACAGGAAGGGTGGGGAATTGGATCACTACATAGGGAGGGTGGGGAATGTGATCACTGCATTGGAAGGGTGGAGAATTGGATCACTGCATAGGAAGGGTGGGGAATTTGATCACTGCATAGGAAGGGTGTGGAATTTGATCACTGCACAGGAAGGGTGGGAATTGGATCACTACATAGGGAGAGGTGGGGAATTTGATCACAGCATAGGAAGGGTGGGGAATTTTGATCACTGCATAGGAAGGGTGGGGAATTTGATCACTGCATAGGAAGGGAAGGGGAATTTGATCACTACATAGGAGAGGTGGGAGAAATTAACAAACTGTAGCTACTGTGAGTTGCAAAAATGGTTGAGACACTCTCTTCAAAAACAAAATTTAATTCCAAATGCATGTCTACGTTTGAAAAAACTAACACATAATTTAATTTATAACCCCCATCCCCCTTCAAGTGTTTTTTCTAAATGGTTTGACATTTTGACAACATTAATAAGGGGGGAGGGGGTGTAAAAGGTATAATTGTTAAACGAAGATTGTCTCAACTCTTTATGCAAACAATTGAAGCTCACCTCTATAACAGACTAAGGAGCCTGTTTACAGGCTATTGCTTTGCCCGAGCATCAGTTATTGAAGAAGTTGAGGCTTGTTTCTGAGGTTGGTATAATGTCCGCAGCCATTATTTGGGGCATCGCGTGACAGGTTCTTTGCGTCACGATCGAAATAATAGGGACCTTAAGATACGAGGACGGGAAAGGCACGACGGGAACGGCAGTTGACGCGGGAGACTTTCGCGGGTCCCGTTGTGCTGGCAAAAAACGAAATGCTTCAGATGTGTATTTTTTCGTATAGGACGGCGACGTCTTTATAATTTATAAAAACATGACGTCCTAAAGAGTTGCTAGAAATTTTATCCTGGAAAGTTATGACGATAGTGTGATAGACGGCGATGAATTCAATCTCTTTTATGAAGCAAACATCTCAGTAAGAATCAGAATTTCAGTACTAGATTTGCTTAACAGTACTTACACTGA